ATTCATTGTGAACCTAGCTTTTAAACCTGAATTACTAATATTTTTACCTACCTTTTAAACCATGTTTATGTATGAAAGGAAGAAGGATGGCATTATATAAACCATTTGCAGAGATAGTCAATAATAATTATAAACTCTTGTTAGACAATTATTTTAAACCATAATCATAGTAGCTTTTTTGTCGTTTCTATGGCAACCTGTAAAAATGAATCACAACAATAGGTATACAAATAAATTTTTAAATTAGCAAACATTGATTCATATTTTTAATGCTTTTTATCTACTAATCGTGGATACCTAGATGTTTTTGTGCAATGTTAAGAGGAAGAAAATGTTTCCCTTTAACGATATATATCATGCCTTATGTGATTTTTTTAATATAAAATAATTTTTTTAAGCCACTTTGCTCAGGATTGGGATTGGCACAGGTGCCATTTGGTAAAGTACAAGGTTTTTCCATGCTTTTGGGGTATATTTCATTTCGTTATCAGATGACGGTAAAAATTTGCAGTGGGCTCTTGGGCTACGACGTCAATATTGCATATGGCTTATTTCATTCTAAAATAAAAACATATATAGACTTAATTTTTCCAGTAAAATAATTCAAAAAGAAAAAGACAAGAACATAGAATACATCTGGCATAACAACCTCTTGTCAAAACAAACGTTTTTTTATATAGGGAAATGCTAAATGGAATTATCTCAAATGAACATTATAAACAATATAGTACTGTCCTAAAAACTATTGTAAGGGTAGCACACAAAAATGTCTCTGGAAGAGTTCATCCGAAAATCTTATATTAAAAGAAATAACAAAAATTAATTCAAGACAAAACTCCTTTTTTAGAAAATATTAGTGGGAAAGATGCAGCTTCGGTATCGAGGATATCTTGAATATCCTGAACATGATAAATCAAATTTTCATTACTGCCTGTCCTGACATTGCAAAAGATTAGGTAATAAACTATGACAAAGAATAACAACCAATGAAAATTGTAGCTTTAGTTTGACATCACCTAGGGAGATAATAAAAACAATAAAAAATCTGTACGTTTCGATGAAGTACCAGTGGCCCTTTTAAATGAATCAGCATGCCAAATTGCGTATATGTCTACCCAGAAAAATTAAAACTAGCTTATGTGCGAGCAATATATCTATTGTGTGTGGGCAAAGGAGTATAAGTCAAAATTTTGGGTAAATTAGTTTGGCATCTATACTTAGTGTTCAACGTGGGATAAGTCAATACTTTCTATTAGGGCCGCTATTGTACTTGGACTTCATAATATAAATTACAAAAATACTTTTTTTTGGTGGGAAAATCAGTATAAGCCGACTTATAAGACATAACATAGATTTACTCAGTTTCTAAATTTTTGACTTATACTCCTTTGCCTACCCACGATAGATATAAAAAATGTGATGTTAAAAAATACAGGCCAATCCACTTAAGGAGGCAAAATGTCCTATTGATGATAACTAATTTTTCTTTAATAATGGTTTTACATTTATTAACATTTTACAGTACTTTGTTTATATGAGACATCTATCCAGCTCTTTTAATTAAATCACACATATTTACAACATTTAAATTGAGCTGTTACATTTTAATATTCCACTTATGTATTCTTAATATTCTTATTGGTACTTAGTCACTTAAGAATGTTGAAAGTGAATGTCATAAAGGTACAATTCCTTCTACGATGTTGTCCATACAATTTTAGTTTCTAAACGTTTTTCCCAACTCCTTTTCCACAATATATCCAAGGCAACAACACTATGAAATATTTAAACCCTGGATTTACAGCATCATGATGAAAGAAATGCAGACACAATGCACTTTTCAAAGATAATTTTCACATGAGCACTGAAAAGTACCTATATTATTTACCAAAGCACAAATGCATATACCTACTCATGTATCATAAAGCTAAACCTTGCTAAACTGGAAATAAATTTCATGATTTGGCACAAAATGTTTTTAGTTTTTATTCCACTACATGGAGGAGGAAAACATTGGTTCATTCCACTTGTACCATATTGACATTGTGCACGTTAAAAGTAGATCTGTCTATTTTTATAATACTATTACTGCAAGACAAACGATAATCGTGGATTTCGCCAAACGAACATCAGAAAAGTGTTGCCAACTTAAGCTGACTACTATCCCCCCCCCCCAGTCTCAGTCACCCCCTCATCCATTAACTGGGTCTATGTGTTGTTGTAATATCTGCCAATTATAAATTTATTACCTAGTTTTTTAAGTACATTTTTTCTGGTTGTATCTTGGTGGGCAATATATCGAATCTATTGTAATTTTGCCCCCCTTAGTGTTAATGGTGCTAATGGTTACCTGATTTTTTGGTCCTTAAAATGCTTAGTTCCTAGAAGTTACATTCTCTGAATTTAGTGTAAGATGGGTCTCGGAAATCAGACATTTCTCTATTTTTTGTACGTCCAAGATAGATTGGATATCAGTTTGTGTTTGGAGGACATCATTTTAAGTGCCTATTCTAATATGTCATTTGTTATATATTTGGGGTTTATTCATTTCTTCTAGCTGGAGCCTATCAGACGGTGATTCTATTCTGGTTATTAAGGATAATATTTCATGAGTGGTAGTTTCTGCTAGGCTAATTGACTGTGCAGTATACTGCGTCATTTGTGGTGTGGGATTCATAGCTAGTTGTGATCTTTGAATTGGTTGCTTCTGTGAATTTTAATATTTTCGAAGGACAGCATCAATAGCGGTAATGATTTTTTAGGTTTAGATGTAGACGATAGTAATGATTAGAGAATTTAATAGCTATAGCAAGAATAGTAGCCATTATCTGCCACAACACTTTCCAATCTTATTGGTATGGACAAAATTAAATGTCGCATGTCTTAGGAATCTACGAACTCTTTTCAAGCATTCTCGATAACTTCCTAACGGCCTAAAGTCTCTTTGACATATCTTTTTGACTATGAAGCCCCATACATTTTCAATCGAGTTTAAGTTAGTTTGCTGGTCATGGCAAAACATTTATGTTGTTTATGTTGATCCATTCTCTTACTGTTCGAGCCGTATGAACTAGAGAATTATGCTGTAATAAAAATCAATTATTGTAAACATTTACGAGTATCTGATTTCTCACATGTTGAAAAGTAACATTTTTCTGTTAGGTTAAAAATCTTTACGGACAGCAGCGCAGTTTTTTAAGCCAGTTTATTTTAAGCATTTGAGCTGTTCTAAGAGATCCTAAGAACAATTCTTTATAATGGTACCTTGGAAAAAGTGCAGAAGCGTTTTGTCAGAACTCTGCACATGAAAAAATATGGAGACTACCCCTTGCGTATCTGTTACCAGAGCCAGTTAATATATTTTAATATTGAAACACTATTTAGCAGAAGGAACAAAGACCAATTAACATTTATAACAAACATTATATATGGAAATTTTAATTTACCCGAATTACTAGCCTCCATCAATTTCAGCGTACCAGATATTCGCCTTAGGCAAAGATACACATTATTTTCCAATAATAATTTATTCTCACCTATTGATAACTCTCTTCAAATACTATGTCGGTTCCTGATTAGCAGTAACATTGACCTTTTTAATATGTCTTTCATCAAATTGAAATTAATATTTGATAAACATACATTGTAACAAAAACTATTATAACTTATAACTATTAATAACTTATAATTATTAATAACTTGTATAACTTTTAATATTACATATATTATATTTTTTATTAATTGTATACCGTTTCTAAATTTATTTTTAGTTTTAGTAAGTGCAACTCAACTGTATAACATGCAGTATAAATAAATAATGTTTCTTCTCGTGGTTTCAACAGAATTTTGACTGATATATTCTACGAGAGCATTGTCTTCATTTTCATTAGATACCTTACACCTTATCGGTAGGTCTTGACAATCTTTATTCTTCTTGCCAGCATAAAATATGTAACTTTTACTGACATTTAATTGGACAGTCACTTCACTTAAAAACCAATTTTCTTCCAATTTTGCTATAGCTGTCCTTGATATATATTGTTAGGAGCTCTCAAATTTGAATGCAGCCAACGACTTATAATGCAAAGTCTAAATGGCACCATTAAATTTTGGAGTTCACATTTCGGTTTCGTCAACTGAACACCATATTTTTCTTTATCATGTTCAACCACTTCCCAAAAGTTTGTATGTGAGTGTGTGAACTGAATGTCAGTTTATATAAATAAAGAAATATAAAACATAAGTGGTACTTTTCACAGAAAAGTAAAAACATTGGGTACCAAATCATTTTGCCATATTGTCTAGGTAGTGAATGAAAGAATCATCAAACAGAACACGATGCTTTTGGTACCGATATCCGTCTTTCCAATTGCTTGCACAGTCAATATGATAAAATATTTTTGCTATACAAAGTTGTAAAAGAAAAAAAAATAAGCCTTTCAATCAACCATTTAAATTGCAAACAATGTAGTATGGTTGTTATATTTTTTTGTATGTTTTAGCATGATAGTTATGTTTTGGTATGGTTATGTTTTATACTTAATATGTGAACCAACTCTATCGAACAGATTTTCCAGAGTGATTTGCGCCATATTGTATAATTAATGACATTATTAATAACCAATTACAAGGTTGAGTCAATGGCCAGTTAATTTTTTTTTGTCTAATAAAAAACATGCAGACATCAAAATAAATCGGTACAAAGGTTAGCACCGATTCTATCGAGACTCTTAAATCTCTTTAAAGCTTGTGCATTGACACATAATGTGGATGCCATCATAGTTGAAATCTTCCAGTAGCACTCTGATCATAATTCAAAGGAAAATACTATTTCTCTAACTTGTCTTGTATCTTACAATGTACATAGTATCCAAAACAGTTATGAATATTAGGATTTTCTAATGGTTTTGTTTTTAATTGTTTAGGAACTTGTAATTATTTAACACATTGAAATTTAAAGTGTATGGCGTTATAAATATTTAATAAAAATAATTTTCTAGGTATTTCGTGCACGAACACCTCCAGAAGCAATTGAATTGGTAGCCCGACTATTAGAATATACACCATCTTCGCGAATTAGCCCTTTACAAGCTTGTGCACATTCTTTCTTCAACGAATTAAGAGAACCAAATACTCGCTTGCCCAATGGAAGTGAATTACCACCGTTATTTAATTTTACTGAACATGGTAAGCATTTTTATTCTGTTATAATATATTTATTGGTTTTTAATAAATACTTTTCTTTTAAACTTAATCTAAAATTGTTACCAAATAGTACGTCGTGACTCCAGTATTTTGAAGTCGATTCATACAGCCAGGCCAAGAAAATGTTTAATTTCAGATTTCATATAATCTTGCTGAAGGGGCGTATCTAACTGCTTTATTGTGGTCTTCTTAAACAGTGTGGCATTGACTCAGAATCAATCCCACATTAAAATTATTTATAAACAAAATGTTATAGGACAGCCTGTTTCGTTTTTAGGGAAGCATTTTAATTTAGACCTGATGATGGCCCTATGGCTGAAACAGGTTTTTGTATAATATTTGGTTAATATATAATTTTTATGTGAGTCGTTGCCTTACTAAATTTAGTTTAATATGCCCTTTTTTACATAGATTAAAAAAGTTCCAACAATTTTCTTATTTTCTTGATGCAGACTTTGCGACACACTGTGTGTCGATTTTGTAGAATTCATGATTGCTTATTAGGAATAGGTCTAGAGTGGTTGGGATACATGTGTTGGTATACATAATATGTGGGTGGATTTGTGTACAAGTTGGTCAAGTCTTTGGTTAATTGCACATCCACAGCCAGTATTATTTGACCTCAATCACGTTACGTGGTGGATATTAAAAGTTCCACGAATAACAACTTTACACGATGGATACTCCGATAATTAGTTATGGAAATATGGTTGAATGAAAACTACCTTCCATGTTTCCGTTAAATGCATTTTTACATGCGTAATTTTTTTTAAGCAAATTTTTGTTAGTATTTCGCTATTCTTGTTTTTCTTTTAAAGCAATGGCTTCAGTCTTTTTAGGGCTTCATACCCGAACGGTAACCAACCAATCTTGTACGATGGTGCGGAACCCTTCATGTGCGAGCCCGACTCGCACTTCGCCGGTTTTATTTTTGTTTCGTTCTCGATCATCTATATATATCATGAAGAGTTCGGTTTCTTATGATTTAAAATTTTTGGGTGAAAATTATATAGGTAGGTACCTACTCGCTTTTTATCATAAAATGTTTAATATTTGTATGTTTTATTGATTAGAAATTAGTACGTAATTTTCAAATATACAATGTAAAATTAAAGAATAATCTGCCTTCGCCAGCAAGTAGACAAGTATACATCGTTTTTTATATGGTAGGAAAGTATGAATTTTTATGCTCATTTTCGTGACTGCTGAAGTGACCATAGTATTTTGGTCGCTATATCTATTAATCTACCTATATCTCTTTTTTGGAGAAAAAACAGCGATTGTTAACTGAACCAATAAAATAAATATTCAATTAAACTACTACTTCCTATTTACGGGACAATCTGAACTAGTTTACAATTTCGGTGCTGCCCACAGATATTAAAACCTGATTTATAAATCATTATTTTTAAAATGCCTAACCATTTAAATAACGTGCGAAATAATTAGTCTAATAAGATATTTTGAAGAAGAACGGGATAATGGTGGTCCTTTATTACCAATAAATGCAGTCATAGAGCTTGTAGCAACGGCGTTGAATTTGAATATTTCGACGATAAGCTCAATTTCCCAGGAATTAAAATATAACTATATTTTAAATTTTCCTCCAAAAAGGCGACCACATCCCAAACCCGTATCTGAAATTTTCAATTCTGACTACATTCGTTATGTCACGTATGATATGTATAAGAAGAAACAACAAGTAATTCTTGTGAAATTACATGAAACTTTAACGCAAAGAAAAATAAATACGGGCTTGCAAAAGATTGGATACAATGAACCAATATAGGATTTAAATGGAAGAAAGATGACCCCGTCTTAAGGAACTTCCTCGTGTTGCCAGTAAATATTTAGTTTTTTAAAGTTGTACACAAGTACAAAAAATCTGTCTCTATATAAATTTGTTTATCTGGATGAAGCATGGATTTTTCAAAAAGGCATAGTAAACCGCTCTTGGCAAAATAACGATAAAATGAGCGGAACAATATTCATTGTTCTTGATGCTGGTATCGAAAATGGTTTTTTCTACACCCACATGGATATTAGCTTATCTACGCACAGACTACAATACGAAAAAGTATACTTTTGTCATTAACTGAACGAATATATTTGATATCCATTCGATGTAGTGTAAACACTGCAAACAAATGAAATCCACCAATCACAGTTCCTATTTTGGCCACCCGACGACTTATATTTTTAAAAGTAATAAATTAGTTTAAAATTAGTTATTTTGTCTTAATAACCTAAAATATTTTTTTAATTTGTAAATTATCGTTAGTGGGTCGTAGAAAAAATATGCTGTACAACTCGAGTGGATTATCCACATCGATATGGCCATCATATATCCACTCTTGTTGCATAAACTACTATTATAGATGGGGCGGAACTGGTGTTTTCATCAAATAGTTACAATCCCGACTATCATGGAGAAATGAATGAATCAAATTTTTTTAAATGGTTCGAGAATTAATTACTTATGAATTTAACTGACCCTTCAATGATTGTTATGGAGAATGCTTCCTATCACAGCATGTTTATTTTAAACGCCCCAATAATTCCTGGACAAAACCTGAAATTCATGATTGGACGAGGATACACAACATTTAATTTGATCAGAATATTATGTACAAACAAGATTTATTGAACAAAGTTTTCATGAGTAAACCTCCAAAAATTTAAAAAATAGATCAACTTGCAGAACAATATAGCCACACATTTATTCAGTTACCTCCTTAAAATTATACATTTAACCCAACAGAAATGATATGGGGAATTGCCAAGAATTATTATGACCAAAAAACAGGGCTAATGCAGTTAAGTAATTTATCATTGCTGGGCCACATCCATCCCCATAACCGTATACGCCACCTTTTTTGTTTAATTTTAAACAGCAAACAACAAAATGCAATTTCTGATGTGTGCAACACATGAGTTTTCTGGCTCGGTAGAAGACGACAAAATTATCAAAGACATGACTTTGATGCAATGGAGCTTGCTGCCATCTACTGATACTTTCCATTGTCCTTCAGGATAATTTGCATTGGGATTGTCCTACTAGGTTATCTAAATACAATGGATGAACTAAATACATACATTTTCCGCAAACATTTTACTCGTAACATTTTTTTTATATACAGGGTGTTTCAGAATAAAGTACCGTAAATAAAGGCACTTGTAGATCTTGACTAATTAATAATAATAAAAGCTAAATATAATTTTCCTGTAAATGGCTTAATTTTTATTCTACAGGGTGATAAAATGAATTTCATAAATACATAATTTTCTAAATATCTTTCATTATGGTAAAGATTTTAACTTAAAAATTTGTATATGTTAGTTGATCGTTAATTAGTTTAGTTAATACACCTTATTTTGATAAATGACGATAACGCATCCAATCTTTTTAAAATTTTATAAAAGTTAAGTTTAATAATTATTCCTCACGCAATTTGTCACTCCATTTCTGAGATTTTTCAGTTTTATTCCTACTCAAACATTATTTTATTGACTTAATGGTCCCATTAGTTAATGAACCTTTTAATATTGATTATAAAATCGGTCCTTAATAAAAATTGCATTATTTTTTTTTAATTTTATTGTGTACATAGATTTCATGTTTAAATAGGTCTAAAACTGAAAAATCTCGTGAATGGAATGTTCTACAGAGATCAACCAAGAGTAAAAATTGCGTGAAGAATAATTATTAATCTCAACTTGTATGATATATAGGGGGTGTTCAAAAAGTTTGGATTACTTTTGTTTTCTTAGCCTTTGATTCTATCGGAATAGAGTGTGTTAATAATGACGATTTACTAATATACATATTTTAAAGTTAAATACTTTACCATAAGGAAGGATATTTAGAAAATTATGTATTTATTCAATTCACTTTAGCACCCTGTAGAATGAAAACTGGAATGTTTACAGGAAAATTATATTTAGCTTTTCTTAATAATTAGTGAAGATCTACAAATTCCTCAGTTTACGCTACTTTATTCTGAAACACCCTGTATATTCATTGCCCACGAAAATACTGAAACATTAAAATTTCACACTTTTCCTCAATTCTTTTCATTACGGTTCAGTGCATGTTATAAAAATCACGTATAACAACTTTTATTTGAACAATTTTCTTAAAAATTAAAATGTTGCCCTTTTTGTCAAATTTCTCGAATACGGACCATTTTATATAAAGTAGAAAAACGACCCCCTATACCCTTATAAAGTAGCCCCCATATTCTTTGACTATGCCCAAAATCTGTAAAACTTGATTTTATTTTTTACAGACTTTTTAAAAACGCTCGTTATTCTGCTGACCCACCCTATATTAATAAAAAGTACGGAAAATTTTAATAATTAAAAAAACTTGATTTTTACTCTTTACATGTGAACCATGCAAAATTAACATGTTGACATAATATTAGTTTTTGATTAATGTGTTTTATATGTCCATATTTGGGTAGTATTGTAACGTGCATATTTGACAGCTCAGAATATTACATTTTAAATTCAACTTACCGTCTATCTAAAGGTTTGTTCCAACAACAATCTTGGGACCATACATAAACCAGTCGACAACTTATTGTCGAAGACTGATAGTCCACGACCTGTCGAGTATTGGGACGCGATTCGGAACACATTTTTGTGTTGTCAGATACGCTCTGTTAATAACGTCAAAGTTAAAGCAGATTTAACTGTTGGAATATGGTGTTCAGAAACACTCTGTTAATAACGTCGAAGTCAAAGCAAAATTAATAAATGGTAAATTTTGAATTTGGGAAATAGAAAAATTATAAAACTCATTGATTTATAAATTTTGATTATTTGATTGGGTAGAAAAAACTTTATTTATTTTAGTTTTGTACTATATTTAAGTCAGAATAATAATAGTCCTTTTCACTTTCTTCACTCCATTACTCATTATTAATAAGTCAACAGATACACGTATACAATAATAGGTTATAAATAATAATAATAAT